TCTTCGAAATATATTATAGTGTTTTTCACTATATACGAAACACTATATATTAATACGAAACACTAGTGTTGAATGATCATTAATATTAATGAAGAAGAAATATGAAACACTATATATTGTTTTAATATATAGAAATACGAAACACTATATATTAATGAAGAAGAAATACAAAATAGAAATACGAAACATATATAGTGTTTTTCACTATATATACGAAATACTATATAAAAATACGAAACACTAGTGTCGAATGATCATTAATATTAATGAAGAAGAAATAGGAAACACTATATATTAATTATATAGAAATACGAAACACTATATATTAATGCGTTGTTCCTTTAAACTGATTAAGTGTTGATGGCCTAGTGGTTATGTAGTTATTATATAAGTGATTGGTTGGAGGTTCGAGCCTTGCTGTCGACATATTTTTAATTACCATCTAAGCGACCAAAACGACGTCGTTTTGCCACGTCATCAAGCGATGAATTTACGTGTCATCTGACGTGGAATCCACATCGACGGAGAGTTAACAGCGTTACACATTTAACACGTTTTTGTATTATTCAGCACGAAATGAAATCTCGAGGTACTAAATTCAAATTTACAATAAGTCCAGGTATGATCTAGCACAATGACAAGTCAACTATATGAAATTAACATACCTAGATAGTCCAGGTATGAAAAAGCCCGTTTTCCCCCTGCACACTACATAAAGTAAAAGAACTTAAGAATTATACTAGATAGCCTTTTTATTTCTATGTGCAATCAAATTATTTTGTTTATACATAACAAAAACAATACTAAAGAACTTTTCAAAAAAAGAATTTACTCTGCTTTTCAATTAAGTAATGTATGGTACCTTCCTGTTATTTGAACGTTGAACCAACTCTCTGTTTGCAAAGATTCTTAAAACCCAAACATTGTATGACAAAAGCCAAACATTGTATGATAAAGAAAACCAAACATTGTATGATAAAAACCAAACTTTTTATAACCAGAAGAAAGAGGTATGTTAAAGAAGTCATTGAGATCGGTTTCCATTGAAATACTATGGTAGTGTCTGCTTAATGTTTCAATGCTTTCGCCTTCAGCTCTTCTCATAACACTCAAAGTAGTTGATGGAGAAAGGCTCACTGATCCTAGTTGATGATGAAGGATTGACGACGGGAAGGGCACAAAGGCGACAAGGAGGAGTTAGCACAAAATTTCTGTCAGAAATCATCACAATCGTTTAATCTAAAGTGAGGGATTGAGGAATTTGGGGATTTGGAGATGGATTCTAATGGAAATTTCTAGTTTTTTGAAACTTAATCGAGTTAAATCAATTTTGGTTTCGTTAAGTAAACAATAAACCAATGGAAACCAAGAACTGGGGATAATTAGATCTTGAACTTTGGTTTCAGGGAAAACTAGGTTTAGAACTTTTATTCCGAGGGAAATAGGATTCAAACTTTTCTTTCAGAGATATCTACATCGGGGTAAAATTTCAGGCTCTATCTGGATTAATACTTTAGTTCTCAGGGGAAAATATTTGGATAAATTTTAACATTTTTAACATTTTTATTGGTTTTTTGATAAAGTTTGAAAATGGGATATTTTTAAAAAGTGGTATTTGAAAAGAGGTATTTTTGAAATTCTCCCATTAATTAGTTAGTTTTATTTTAACAATTGACTAAATCTTAATTAATTTTTATTGAGTCAAAATTTTAAGTAAATTTTAATTTTCGCTATTGATTCAATCTTAATTAATTTTTACATACGTGTTTGGCTCAATCTTAATTTTTTTTTTTAATTGAGTTAATCTTAATTAATTTTTATTTTCTTGATTAAGTCAATCTTAAATTAGTTTTATTTTTGCAAATAAGTCAATCTTAATTAATTTTTATTTTCTTAATTGACTCAATCTCAATTAATTTTAGAGATTCTTTTTGGCTCGTTATTTACTTTTACCAGTGAGTGATTTTGGCTGAATATCTTATATGTTCTTAGTTTTGTGTTTCCAAATATTAAAAAGGTAAAACGTAAAATCTCATTTGCATTATTTCAGTTGTACACCAAATATTAAAATTAATTTAAATTTCTCTTTTCCACAATGTTAAAACAACATGTTCATTTACAATTTAATTTTAAAAAAAAATTTAAAACATATAATAATATTTGAGACATGGCAGGTGACTCAGCAAAATTTTTACATGTGGCCTATGACTCAGCAAAATCTGTATACATGGTATCTGACTCATCGTAATTGACCAATATAATCTCGGTCAATGTTGATTTTGGCACAAATTTGATATTTCATGTAGTTTTATTTGAAATAATGTTCAGTTCAGGTTAAAATTTACACGTTATAAAAGTTGAGGTATATAAATACACTTTTGAAATTGTTCAGGTTGAAATTTACCCTTTACCCGATTTTGGCATGTTGTTTAATTTTACTTGTGAATGTTTATTGTGAAAAATTATTTATTTTAGCTATTGAATTATATATTTTGGTATGTTGTTTAATTTTTTATTAATGAGTTATTTGATGTTCACTTATTTCAGCACGCTTTTTACTTTTTGAAATGTGTTGAAATCTATTTTTCACTTTTTAAAGAGTTATAGATGTTTGACAAAAAAAAAAGAAAAAAAAAAAGAGTTTTAGATGGTCAACATTATTTTTCACTTTGAATATCGTGCTATTTTCGCAAGGTTCTTCAACATTAGTAATTACATTGCTATGGAGAGAGTTATGGGGACAAAATCCTGCAAATCACCAATTTTTGCAATTTTACCATCCATCCTCAAAAAATACAAATCAATCAAACAAAATATAAATTAATATGCAATATAAGCCCTCTATGTTTTTTGTAAATTTTCTTGTACATTATATTTTCAAAACTTTAAAAGTAGACTTGGAAATTCGTCACGAGAACTTCAATTTGATATATTATTCATTTATAATTTAAAAACTTAACGCCGAGAAACTGGATATATTGCGTTTTGTCTTCAATTTGATACAGTATTCGTTTCAAGGATTTCAATATGATAAATTATTTGTTCATATATATTTTACAAACTTGACGGTAAAAAAAAAAGTTTTATTGCATATTAATTTTTATTTCTTCTGATTTTTTTTGCATTTTCTGAATATTGATGTAAAAAACGGCGATTTTTAGTGTTATTCTTATACAATCATGTCACATGATTCATGTGTTTATAAACATTCCATGTTTTTAATTTGTAGATGAAAAGTATGACGACGAAGATGAAGATTAAATAAGAAAACATCGAAACAATTGTTACTCATACTTTCTGTTTACACGCAGTAATATCATCTCCAGCCAAAATTTCGACTTCTGTGTCAGTGCAAAGTATAAAAACTAGTAGAATTTGCTTCATCTAAACTAAAAGATGGTAGATAACAAATCAGGTGGTGTCTTAGTTTGTATTGTATGGTTTGAATCTATATACCTGATACTACCTTAGTATACAATCTGCTGGGATAAAACATCAGCTTTGAGGATCACTCGACGCGATCAATTCACCTGACCTCATCTCATTGATCTCAGCTTTTGCAAGGCGAATCAAGAATAAACCCGCAAAGAAAATTGAAACAATAAGCATGAAAAAAACACTGTTCCACCCTCTGCTTGATATGAAACCAGCGAGCAGCGGTCCAAGAGCCGCCCCAACTGAACCAGTACCATCTATAATAGCAGTTACAGTGGCCAACGCCCGACCATTCCCTTTAATTGAGTCTTGTGTTCCAAGATCAGCTGCAACGGCTGTGGTAATGAGTGCATACGGACCGTTTACTAATAACCCGGATATAAACATCAAGGCGATGTTAATGAACATGGACACACTCCCATAGATTCTGTACATAATGAGGGCAGGAATGGAGAGTGCCAAGAATGTAACTGATGTGACGGCACGAGCATTGATTTTATCGGAAATGAACCCGGCTGATATTCCACCAAGCACTCCTCCTATGTCAAAGACTGTCGAGAGAATCCCAGCAGTTTTATGCGAGAGATTCACACCCGCAACAGCTGTTTCAATACATAAGAGTAAGAACATAACGCAACTTGAATTATACGAAACAAACCTGTATGCATAACCTTAAAAGCATACCTGTGTGCCTTAAGTAGTATGGTAACCAATACAAGAACGTGTAAGCGACGAGTTTCGAGAAAAACAAACAGAACGCGTAAGGCGCCACACCAGGCAATCTCCAAGCCTCAATAAACCCGATAGCAAACAAAGAATCATCCGAGTCATCTACAGTATTTTCAAGAAGCACTGCATCCTCAGCTTCCTGTTTCCTCAAACTCTCCTCTCCATCATTCTCAGCTAAACTCATCTCAATCTCAATCTGTTTTCCCGGTTCTTCAAACCCCAAATCATTAGGACCAACAACAAGACACATAAACACAAACACCCCAGACAAAATCACCATCCCACCAGGCAAAACAAAAGACCATCCCCATCCGAAATCAAGAACCGAAGACGCAATAACCGATCCAAGAATATTCCCAACAGATGTATGAGAATTCCACACACCCATAATCAAACCACGTTTCTCTTTCCCACACCAATTCCCAACAACAGAGACAACACAAGGCCACCCAATAGACTGAAACAAACCACAAACAATCTGAACACTCATGTAAAACCAAAGCCTATGAACATCCATCCAATACCCTAACCCAAATACAACAGTGAGAATCCCACTACCCATCATTCCAAACACAAGAAAGTATCTCAAATCAATCCTATCTCCTAAATGCCCTGCAAAGTACATACCAAAAGCATACGAAGAAAGAAACGCCAAATCAAGCTCACCAAGTCTCTTAGTCCCTTCTGTTCCATTAAACGGAGCCCATCCATTATCAATTGAAGATGCATTAGATACAACAGACGGTGGTCCAAGGACACTCTTGACAATGCTGGGAGGTTTACGAGAAGCGTGAAACGAAGCATATGCTATAAAGGTAATGATGAGAACTGAGATTTGATGGAAAGTGAAGGTTTTGTGAGGTGTGTTTAGGTTTGGGAATAGAGAAAACGCCGGAGCTAATCCGACGATTCTCGATTGCATCTTGCTCAATCTCTGTGTTGAATCATTTGCAAAAAGAAGAGATCTTTAGATCAGAAAAGTTTGAACCTTTGCGAATGTTTTACTTTTCTCGTTCCGGTTGGTGGCTACTGGCCGGGTAGATGTTAGATCCTGGACGGTCAGGTTTTGTTTGGTCGGCGGTCAACTTCTGTTTTTGGGTATTTTAGTTTCCGGACCAAAAAAACAAGTGTTGGTCTGATCGGACAAGGCCTACGATTATCTCTATTGATCTCTATTTGTCTTGGGGGAAAATTCCATGAAAATTCCATAAAAATTCTCCATCTAATTTTAATTTGGAACTTTAATACTCAATGTTATTTGGTTGAAAACAAAATGCATAGTTTATTAATATGTTGTCTATTAATACATCAAGTATATAAAAATTATCGAATCGAAGAAACCGCTTAACAAACGGTAATTGGATTGACGGAATCACTAAACTGGAGTTAATGGAATTTCACTAAATTTAGGGTTTATCGATCCCAATTCGATTTTAGGATAATAGCAAAGGACAATGCAGTCTTTGGATAACCCCAAATTACCCGTGTGTTTAGGGATTAGTAATTTCGTCAACCTCGGTTTAGTGATTCCGTCAATCCGATTAAACTTTTATTCGATTCGACAATTTTTATATACTTAATGTATTAATAGACCAAAATTTAATAAACCATGCATTTTATTTCCAATCAAATAACATTGGATATTAAACTTCCAAATTAAAATTAGATGGGGAATTTTTATGGAATTTTCCCTTTGTCTTGGAGGTTAAAATAGTTTTTTAGAATCATAAACAAATTTCTGAAAAAAAAAAAAAATGATATTGAAATTTTGATAGGGAAATTGCAAAGCATGTACATGGATAAAATTTTAATTCAATCTATAGCACTGTTATTTGCATATTTAGATCCACTTTTTAACTGACGATTATAACCCTATTCTCTAGTTTCAGAAGATAGGCAATGATTTGAGGAGAATTAAAACAATATGATGACAAAAAAGAAGAAACCATATGATATTTGAACTTGCCTTCACTTTAAGATTTCATTTTCTGGGTACTCGTTGTAAATCAATAGAATTGTGTTTTTTCCATCCTTTCTTCCATCACCCAATAAATCAACAGTTGCAACTTTTGATGAGTGTATTATTTTTCTGGGTTTGTTTCTCAGATCTACTATGTTCTTCCATTTAAATCCATCAACCGATCAAAAAAATCCACAATATAGTTTTTTCCTTTTTCAATTTACTGACCTAATTCTGAAGGTGAGAAGTTTTGTATTTTTCGTTTCTTTTTAGCTTTTCTACTCAAAAAAAAAAAAGATTTTGTTTATGAAATTTTCACTTTTTACACCAGATGATCTGAGTTGGATTTTCAGGGACTTGTTGAAGAAGAAGACCCTTTAATTCACGGTGAAGAATATGCCGAGAAATCTGATAAAGATTTAATTAGTTGCTATTTATATCGTTATTAATTTCTGCTTGGTTTACCTCATGTTAACATTTGTACTTCATCTCCCTACATTTTTCTGATGGCGAAGTGGGGGATGATCCTATGGATGTCGATAACAATGGGATTATCATATAATACACCGCATAGTCCCTATTGCATTTATGTGATCCTTTATTTTCTATAAATGTCTTCTGCAATTATGTTATATTATGTGGTACGTGCAGGTAGTTGATAATGATGAATGTGACAAGGAGAAAGACTTAGCAGAAAAACAAATGGTTAGCATATAATTTCTTTGTTATTCAATATGATTCTTATTATCCACGTCTGAATGAATATGTGATATTATTTCCTTTATTTTCTACACATGCCTTCTGCAATTATGTCATATTAAGTTGCAGTTTTTTTATGGCGAAGTAGAGGATGATCTTATGGATGTCGATAACAATGGGATTATCATATAATACACCGCATACTCCCTTTTGCAATTATGTGATTCTTTATTTTCTATAGACGTCTTCTGCAATTATGTTATACTAAGTGGTATGTGCAAGTAGCTGATGATGATGAAGGTGACAAAGAGAAAGACTTATCCGGGAAACAAATGGTTAGCGTATAATTTCTTCGTTATTCAATATGATTCTTATTATCTACATCTGAATGAATATGTGATACCATTTCTTTTATTTTCTACACATGCCTTCTGCAATTATGTCATATTAAGTTGTTTGTGCAGGGAGGTGATGGTGATGTAGGTGGCGAGGAGAGAGAAACTTAGTAGGAAAGCAATTGGTTAGAGTATAAATTTATTGTTATTCAATGATTATTAGTATCGACGTCTGAATGATTTTGTTTGTCAAGGTTGGCAACGAGAGTTATTCTACATGGCTGGTACGTGCTTATGCCGGTAATTGTATGCAAAAACGATGGTTAGTCGATAATAAGATTGTTATCAAATTGTAACGCCTGTGTCTGGAAATCCGGGTGGTGTCGATCGACACTGTGGTCGGGTGTCGATCGACACTAGTAATTTTGGGTTTGACGGTTTAAGTTTTTAAATCGTCGGTTCAATGGAGGCTTGGTTTGGGTTGGTTAACCCTAGGTCGTGCTTAAAAGAGGGAAGGTCGTGTGTTGTCTCTTCCCAGCCGCTTTTTAACACTTCCAGAGATAGAAAAAAAAAGGTTCTAGAGCTTCTGAGGGTTTTTGTGAGTCTTTGGTGGTGCTTGGTGGTGTTCTTGGTGGTTTAAGGCTAGTAGAGGCTAGATCAGTGTTGTGTGGTGTTAGAGGAGACAGATCCTTCCTTGTTCTTCCTTGTTTTCGTTGCTGTTCTTCTTGTTTAAAGAGGTGAGTGCATGACCAGGCTTATCTAAGCATGTTTGATCATTGTTTTAGGGTTTTGATGATTGTTTGATTGATTTCCTTCGCTTGTTTGGCTGTTTATTTGATGATTGATGCCTGTGGAATCCTTTGGAGACTCGTTCTTATCGTGGTGGTCTTTTGGAGAAGAAATCCAGTGAGAAACGCAGTTGGAGCGTCTGCAGAGAGTCGGTGTCGATCGACACCAAGGGTGGGTGTCGCTCGACACCAACGTTTCATCGCGCGAGGATAACTGCGTCTTACGATTGGAGTGTCGAGACCGGTGTCGTCCGCGAGGGTCGACAGCGAGTGTCGATCGACACCAGTGGAGGGTGTCGATCGACACCGATAGTCAGAAGCGATTCTGGTCTATCTTTTATTGGTTGTTTGGTTCTTTTCCTTGGATAATGGTTGAATGTGCTTGTGTGTATAGCCAGTGGTGGTATGATTGCCTCACTAAGTATTTATGAAATACTTATGCATCTCTTTCTTTGATGCAGGTAAAAGCAAAGTGTGATCCGTGGAATCATGGCGAGGAGAGGAGGATGATCTAGGCGCTCATTGGTGTTTAGATGATTGTAGGATTTGTTAGGATGCTAGAATGGAATTTAGAAGCATGTTAGGATGAATTCGTTTCTGGAATATTGATAGTTGAACTTGTTGGATTAATGGAATGGTTTGATTGGATTTTTGTTTAAGTCTTCCGCTGGTTACGTTGAGTTGGTTGTGTTAGTAAAATTGTCTGGATTGCTTTAAAGGGGTTAATCCGGATTGTTTGCATGCTTAAAAGAAAAAAAAATGGGATGGGTTCTTTCAATTTGGTATCAGAGCATTTACGGTTCTAGGACGAGATTTAATTGGTAGAAAAATTGTGATGTGATGTGTGAATTTCATTGATGAGGAATGATGATGTGGATTGCATGCTGATTGATTGTGTGTTTAATCAATTGGGTGAGCATGGAGACCTAGATCATCCTCTCGAGCCTTAAATGAGATTCCACGGTAAGTTGTGTGGTTTGGTGATTTGTTGGGTGTTCTTAACTTTCTGTTGTGTTGCAGATGGTTAGAGGTGGAGCTGTCGGTCGTGGTCGTGGTCGTGGTCGTGGGCGTGGTCGCGGTAGGGGGCGTGGTGTTGCCTCGGCTAACGACACGAGTGTGGGCCGAAGTGCTACGGCCGATTTTGTTAGTAAGTCCCAGTCGCATCAGGACGGGCCCGTGGGTGGTGAGAGTGTGAGTGCCGTGGGAGCCGGTTCGTCCGGGAACGGTACTAGTGTTGTTGGGAACCCGGTCGGGGGTGTTCCAACAGGTGAAGCCCAGGGTCAGAATGATCGGCTTGCGGATTTACTGACGCAGCTCTTGGAGCGGTTACCGGGTGCGGTACCGCCGGTGCAGGCTCCTCTTGGGCCTGGTGTGCAGGCTCCTCTTGGGCCTGGTGTGCAGGCTCCTCTTGGGCCTGGTGTGCAGGCTCCTCTTGGGCCTGGTGTGCAGGCTCCTCTTGGGCCTGGTGTGCAGCCTGTTGTTGGGGTTGTACCGCCTGGGGAGGTAGGTGCGGTGGTCGAGCAGCCGTACTACCTGCGGATGTTGGAGCAGCTGCAGCGGTTCGGGATGTCCTTGTTCTTCGGAGGTTCCGACCCGGCTGTAGCGGATGAGTGGCGGGTGCGATTGGAGCGGTATTTCCAGTCGATGAGGTGCCCGGAGGCGTATCGGGTGGACCTAGCGGCCCACTACTTGGCGGGTGATGCACATTTGTGGTGGCGGAGTGGGCTGGCAAAGAGGGGGCAGGGATTGGCGGTGTGGGGAGATTTCTTGGCAGAGTTTAATGCCAAGTATTTTCCGGCGGAGGCATTGGACCGGATGGAGTCGCAGTTCCTGGCGTTGACTCAGGGCGAGCGGTCGGTGCGGGAGTACGACTCGGAGTTCAGCCGACTCTTGGTGTACTCGGGGCGTGCGGGAGATCCTGAGCAGATGCAGGTGCGTCGGTTCATGAAGGGTCTCAGCCCTGACATGAGGGTGCGGTGCAAGGTGCGGGCCTATGCATCGCGTGTGGAGCTGGTTGAGGTGGCGGCGGGGATCGAGGACGAGTTGAGGAGTCACGGGGTGATTCCTAGTCCGTCGGCGCAGCCGAAGAAGACCCAGCCACAGTCAGTTCCGAGCAAGGGTGGCAAACCTGCTCAGGGACAGAAGAGGAAGTGGGATGACACTTCCAGGGTGAGCCAGGGTGATCGGAGGTGCTTCAGGTGTGGGAGTACGGATCACATGGTGGCAAGCTGCCCGAAGAAGGGCGAGCCGTGGGTGGATACCCGTGTCTGTTACCACTGCAGAGAGACGGGGCACATAAAGACGAGGTGTCCTAAGTTGCAGCAGATGGCGGTAGTAGCGGTGCAGCCGGCGATGCAGCCAGTGGTGCAGCAATGGGTGCAGCCAGGATTGCAGCTGGCAGGGCAGTCGTTGGCTCAGCTGGGAGCACCGCCGGTGGCACAGATCGAGGGATCGAGGGGGTATACGACCGTGGAGACAGGAGAGCCAAGCACTGGACGGCCGATCACAGGTTTAATTCTAAGCCTCAATCTGTTTCCTTCCGTTGTTTTAGAATTTGTGTTGTTTTCCTGTGATTTTTGGGGTGGCCAGTCTTAGTGAAAAGGGTTTGTGTAGGGACCCTGTTGGTGGGCGGGTTCTTGTCCCACGTGATGTTTGATTCTGGAGCTACGAATAGCTTCATTACCCCAGAGTGCGCGACGGGTGGTAACATCCGAGGAGATCCCGATGGTTGTTATGGAGCCGTTAGAGTCGCAGGAGGCGCTTTGCTATCGGTCCAGGGGCGGGCTAGTGGTGTGGATGTACAGATTGCGGGAGAGTCGATGCCGGCAGATCTGTACATTAGTCCGGTGGAGTTGTATGATGTAATTCTGGGCATGGATTGGTTGGAGCGGCACAGAGTTCATCTGGATTGTCACCGGGGGAGAGTATACTTCGAGCGTCCCGGACCGAAGATGTATTTCCAGGGTGTGAGCCCGATTTCGGGGAGTTTAGTGATTTCGGCGATTCAGGCGGATAGGATGATACGAAAGGGGCGGGAAGCTTATTTAGCTACGATTGTCATGCCAGAGACGGTCGATGAGGTAGCAGTGGATAAGATCCGGGTGGTCCAAGAGTTCGAGGATGTGTTTCAGTCGTTGAAGGGGTTACCACCATCTCGGTCTGATCCCTTCACGATTGAGTTGGAGCCCGGGACAACGCCGTTGTCTAAGGCTCCGTACCGGATGGCTCCAGCGGAGATGGCGGAGCTGAAGAAGCAGTTGGAGGATCTGCTGGGTAAGGGTTTCATCCGTCCTAGTGTTTCACCGTGGGGTGCACCGGTGTTGTTCGTTAAGAAAAAGGATGGGAGTTTCCGGCTGTGTATCGATTACCGGGGACTTAACCGAGTCACGGTGAAGAACAAGTATCCTTTGCCGCGGATTGATGAGTTGTTGGACCAGTTGAGGGGAGCTACGTGGTTCTCTAAGATCGATTTGGCGTCGGGTTACCATCAGATTCCTATCGACGAGGCGGATATCCGTAAAACGGCGTTCAGGACGAGGTATGGGCATTATGAGTTCGTGGTGATGCCTTTCGGGTTGACTAATGCACCAGCGGCGTTCATGAGGCTGATGAACAGCGTGTTCCAGGCGTTTCTGGATGAGTTTGTTATCATCTTCATTGATGATATCCTGGTGTATTCTAAGAGTCCTGAGGAGCACGAGGTACACTTGCGGGCAGTGTTGGAGAAGCTGCGGGAATAGAAGTTGTATGCTAAGTTGAGCAAGTGTAGTTTCTGGCAGAGAAAGATGGGTTTTCTGGGTCATATCGTGTCTGCAGAGGGAGTTTCTGTGGATCCAGAGAAGATTGAGGCTATCAGAGATTGGCCTAGACCGCAGAATGCCACAGAGATACGGAGTTTTCTGGGATTGGCAGGTTACTACAGGCGGTTTGTGAAGGGCTTTGCTAGTACAGCTCAGCCAATGACCAAGCTGACGGGGAAGGATGTTCCTTTCGTGTGGACTCTTGAGTGTGAGCAGGGTTTCGCTCAACTCAAGGAGATGTTGACCAGTACGCCGGTTTTGGCTTTACCGGAGCAGGGAGAGCCGTATGTGGTGTACACGGACGCTTCGGGAGTTGGTTTGGGTTGTGTGTTGATGCAGCAGGGTAAGGTGATCGCCTATGCCTCGCGGCAGTTGCGGAAGCATGAGGGCAACTACCCTACTCATGATTTGGAGATGGCAGCGGTGGTCTTTGCTCTGAAGATTTGGAGATCTTATCTGTATGGAGCGAAGGTTCAGGTGTTTACAGATCATAAGAGTCTGAAGTATATATTCACGCAGCCTGAGTTGAACTTGAGGCAGAGGCGCTGGA